GGGGGCTGAGGGAAGGCAGGGGGAGGTCAGGGAGGGGCCACGTAAGGATCGGCTTTTCTGCTGAGATGGAGCCCCTGCAGAGTGTGTGAGAAGCAGACATTTGAGTTACTATATATATATATATATATATATATATATATATATATATAGTGCGATAACTCACATACCATATCACTTACCCTTTTAAGGTGTACAATTCACTGGTGTTTAGTCTATTCATAAGGTTGTCCCACCCTTTCCATTAGCTAATTTGAGAACATTTTCATCACATCACCCCAAGTAGGACCCTGCCACCCATTAGCAGTCCCTTCCTTCCCTCCTCCTCCCCCAGCCCCTGGCACCTGCTAATTTACTTTCTGTCTCTGGATTTGACTATTCTGGGCATTTCATACAACTGGAACCATACACCACGTGGCCTGTGGAGCCTGCTTCCTTTTCATTGAGCAGAACGTCTTCCAGGTTCATCCACGACGTAGCAGGTGTCAGGGTCAGAAGTCTTCCATGTATGGATGGACCACATTTGTTCACCAGTCATCAGCTGATGGACATTCCAGTTGTTTCCACCTTTTGGCTATTATGAATAATGCTGCTATGAACTGAGAAATATATTTAAAAACTTTTTAATTTATTGATTTTAGAGAGGGAGAAAGAGGGAGAGAGATGTTGATTTGCTGTTTTACTCATTTATGTATTTATTAGTTGACTCCTGTATGTGCCCTGACCGGGGATCGAACTCACTACCTTGGGATAGAGGGACAATGCTTTAACCCACCGAGCCACGCCAGCCGGGCTCTGCGTAATATTTTTAAGGAATTGTTCTGCCCCTGAGTAGAAGCCATGGGACTCTGCACTAATCCCGATGAGGGAGGAGAGTGCCTGGACCAAGTGCAGTGCAGGGGGTGAGAGGCGTGAGGCCCTCTTCAGATTTGGGGGTGCACATAAACAAGAGGAACTGAGGGTGCTTGTGCATTGACTCACCTGGGGAAGGTAGGGGTGGGTGGGTTTGGGGGAGGACCTATTAGACATGTTGACTGGACCGTGGGATGTACAGGAAGAGGGTTTGGGACAGAGATCTGGGCAGTGATGTGAATTTGGGATCATTCCGCAGATAGGTGGTGCTTGTGATGGTAAATTTTTAAAAAATGCATTTTTTATTGATTTCAGAGAGAAAGCGAGAGGAAAGGAGAGATAGAAACATCAATGAAGAGAGAGAATCATATGTTCCAGATATGAGTCCCACATCAGATATATGATGTGCAAACATTGCCTCCCATTTGGTGAATTGCCATTTAACTCTGTAGATTGTATCCTTTGATGCAATCTAACTAGAGAGATGG